AGTAACACCGACAGCACCCAAACGTTTCGTAATTTCCTTCATGCTCCCCTTCCAGGTTAAGGGTTGGTCACCTCTCCGCTTCCGTTACTCTGAATTTGGCATGGAGAACATCTCTTCGGCAAACGGTCGTTAGGCATACGCAACACATGTCCCAACCATCGCAGCTTCTGGTGTTGGACATATCCTTCAATCGAAGTACCCGTTGCACAACCGAAAACTCGCTTTTTAATTGTCTCGTTACCGATTCGCCGATACCAACCCACACGAGTTGTAACAGCTGGAACCAATGCATTTCAATGCACGGCTTGAGCTGAAAAACGTAAGTAAGCTGACTGAAAAGCAACGACCATACACCACAGACACTGCTGTAAGTTGTCACTCTAAGCGTGCGGACAGACAGCAGATAAGCCATGCAAATACCTGTGTTTTACCACAGCGGTGGATAACATCAAATGGATGCCTTTTTCATCACATTCATACTGCGCCCCACAGTTTGTATGCCTCAAAAACTGGAACCGGAATTAAGACAATTGGTCACAACCGAATTTCACCGCAACGAATCTTGTTCTCACGATAGTCTCTTGATAAAGTCTGAGCACAATACCGATATCTAAAAACACACTTTAGCAAAGTCTCACTCTAATTGATTGACGGGTTCTTCTCGTTTGAATGTGTCACATGCATCTTGCTGTCTCAGCAACAGTTAAGACTAACAGGCAACCATATGGCACCTTTCCGGAGTGCTATTACAAAGGAAACGCACCGATTATTATGCGGAATCATCGGGGCCATAAGGTGGTTTACTATGAACTACGTCCTTCCGCACATCCAGCAACTTCGTCTTGATCCAATTTCACGTGCCCTTCTACGGTGTGAAGAACTGGCTTGCCCTACAGAAGGCAGGGCGACCAAACGACAACAGACTGCTGCAGACACCCTCTTCTTCCGCCTTCTTAGTAATGGTTTCACTCACCACGAGTCGTTTTGGACCAGACGTGTGTACCAGTTGAAAGCCTTCCCACACTCCCAAGGTTTCAAACTTCTTCCATTTCCTCGTTTATGGACCCACCTAACTTCTCAGTCCGCAGAAATGGAGCCGATGGGATGTTAAGTTAGCTCGGGAACTGGGCAGTTACATACTGAAGACGATAGCTTGGACGTACGAGCGCAACTGACTGGGCTACTTCAGTCAGTGTCAATAACCACTGGTGAGTTGAGCCCCGGGGTCCCCATCCAGGGAGGCGGCAGTTTTCGACCCGACTGAGCTTACTGGTTAGCACTTCCATAGGTCGTTTTTAGAACGTACACTGTTCACCTCTCCGTCTCTTCCACTCAGCATACGGCTGTGCGAAAAGAGCACTGCGAGACGACGGTTCGCTAGTATGCGGAGTACATGTCCTAACAAGTGTAACCTATGAAGAGTGGGTAATTCAGTTGTCATGGAAGAGTCCCTCTTTTCGAAAACCATCTGGCATACCTCAGCGCTGCTAATCCGATTTTCGAACCGGACCAGACCAATGCTTCGGGGACATCGTTGGTTAAACACAGACAGTTTTCGTATGTGCCCTGCGCGTTTGCTTAATGTTAGCGTACGAGAACCTGTCGATGGTCAGACGTAGTGTTCGCATCTTGCGCACCCTTAGAAACCGCACGGGGGAGCAGTAACGAAAAAATGCGCTGTCAGAATCCACAAACGTGTTCCAGAACGAGCGAGTGTGTACTCAACCCATGCTATCTACAGCTAGAGGCGATGTAGTTTATCTGCACTGCAGATTGTCTGGCATGCGGGGAGCACCACGTGGCCAAGCGTCTTCGGTTTCGGAAGTTACTACAGCATAGAAAAAGCCGTTCAAAGTTGTCCAGGAGACAGGATTCCTGTCCGAGACGACCACCCAAGCGAGCGTCAGCAGTGCTACTTTCGCACTAATGTCTGACAGCCGCAACAATACTTGAGCTACTGGCTCGCCGCAACAATACCCGAGCTATTGGCTCGCCGCAACAACGCGATCAAATCGCCGTAAAAACTCACTGACCGCATCAGGAGTAAACATACAAAAAAGGCAACAGTAACCGACCCCTTTACGGGATACTCTCATAGACATTACCAAAAGAACCGCAAAGGTGCGACAGTTCAACGGAAAGCAAATCTAGCGTACATACAACAGCAGTCTGTTGCCCGGCTTCTTTCAGAGTGCGAACGTTAAAGGCTATTAGATGAAGTGAGCTTTGGGTTTGAGGAATGATTTGAAAAAAATATCTGCGGACGGTTAACTCAGCCAAAGCAAATGGGCGCCGAACGGATCCGTCAGTCCTTAAGAATGGGCATACAGTGGTTTTGTTGGTGACGAGGTGATGACGGAGGAGGAATGAATATCTGGAAAAGGAAGGCGTCGGCCAAAACCCATTCGCTTAACGGCCCTGCTGTATGCAGCGAGTATGGTGACCTGGCTGAAGGCATCACGCGACGGCAGATGTGGGACCAGATTATTTGCGAATGTGCTCTTCATGGTTGTACGTGGACTGGAATAATGCCATCGTGTCCGGTGCTGGACAGGATGACCATTAATGTCTATTAGGGCTCAGTGGTCAGAGTGCGAATATACCGACCGGAAGGTCCGTGGTTCGAACCCGACCTCTGCCTCTCGACTTACCCTGTCTAAACTTGGGCGACCTGGCAGTATCCCTCAGGCAATACATCCAGACAAATTCAAACTACAGCCGCACACGATCCCCGCTACGTAAGAGTCGATTTCTGACGATGGGGAAGCTCGGTTGTTGTGTTGCACACAATAACGGCAGACCACGAGCCTATTTATTAGTGCACATGCTTCGATCTAATTTTGGACTATACGGCAAACAGACAGGCTCGGCAACTCGAGATTTCCTGTTAACCTTTAATAGAGGTGACGTCAATCTTCCATCCATCAGGGAGCAGCTCACCACACAGATAAACAGCTACATAAGTCCAGCGCAGCAATCTAATCCCGACCATCAAAACGAACATATTTTAGTGGGCATAACCAGCCATACTAAGCTGATGAGCTCAAAGTTTTCACATGTGGGCGCTACTGCCAGCGTCCACTATTGTTCAGGGGGGGAGGGCACTCACCAACTGGGATTCACTAAGATTTCCTTGAATGGTACAAGTCATAGTGATAACGGTTCGACACAACCCGAAGATGAGGGTTGAGATACTGTCAGGTTGCTCAACCCCAGGCAGGTGCAGAGGCCGGGTTCAAACCATGGGGCTTCCGATCAGTAAGACGCGACTTAATCACTGGTTAATCTTGGACAATCTTGAATCATTTAGAGTAGGATATCTCCTGAAAAAGACCACTTATCATAACCAAATGTGTAAACTGTTATACTGCACCATCTGCTGAAAAATATAGCCCATTTACAGTCCTGGGAGGCCATTGCTTCCGAAGCTCCTAAACCCAAATTTAGCTGTTATTCAAATGGGCGCAATCTGTCTTTCATGCGCTGACCCAGCAGACGTATGTTAAAGGATTTATTTCTCAAGGGCGGCAACAGCAGGCCGCGCTAGAGATGGACACCTAATGGTCATAACAAAAAGCGAGGAACCTCAAGGAGTTAGCAAATGCGGTTACATACCGAACGTAATAAGAGAAACTTACTCCAAATCGTTCAGAAGGTTTCCGCTTTGAACTTTTACCTGGTCGATATAACGCTCGAAGGAGTTATCGGAACGCATCACTTAATCACTGAGAATTAGGGGCACAGTAACTTACCGAGTGTGTACAAATGGGTTTTCTTGTCAGTAAAATACTGGTCTAAATCCGAAGTAACTTTCTTGGCATGTTTTTCTTCGAACTGTCCCGTCCTGGGGTTTTTATATTGAATGATAAAATGGAACTGGCAATAAACAGGTGTAAGTAATTACTTTGGGGTTTGGGTCGCATTTATCGGGCCCGAACATGATGGTATACAGAGTTTTGTCATTAAATTTCGCCTAAATCGTTAGTGCCATGAAAAGGTAACCTACAAGATCAGAACCGGGGGTGTCACTCAAAAGTTTTATGTAGGCACCGGCACAATCAATGCCCCCCGCAAATCTCACTTCATATTGCACCACCAGCTCGTCTGTATCGAACTTGATAGGCCGAGACAGTTTGGCAGATATAGCATGGTGTTTGGCCTTAGATCGAGCCAGAAGTTCATAATCTCCATCTACAGCATGAAACTCCTCGACTGACCACACTCCATCATACTTCGCCAGTGATTCCGGCGCTCCATCTTTAGTAGCTGTGGACCGAACAAATCTGGAGTGCCGTTTATTTCGAACGAACCAGCCTACTTGTTTATGTCACCGGGTGACTCAAAATACATCGCGAAGTACGCGCCACGTGGTACATTGGGTGTCTGAAACTGGCGAAAACGTTACTCAGTAAGCACTCTCGGAATACCTTGGGTTTTGGAGGGGCATCTACTTCCTCGCACAGTGATAGTGAGAAGCAATAGGCCAATAGGACCAAAACGAGACGCAAGGACATTGCACCACCAGAACACAAAGGAAACTGGCGCCAACAGTCGTGTCTTCCAGCAATTGGCTGATTCTGAGGGTAGTGGTTAATATAAACAACAGGAATTTCTCATGGAAGGAAAGTGCCGAAAATACCTCAAGAGCGAAAATCACGTGTGCTACTGAAGTCATTGCTGGCTGAGCGAAACTACTCTATTACGTATATTAAATGGGTTCAGTAGGTGTGAACACCAGCAAGAAGCCGAAAGCTCGTATGCGGAGGTCCCATATGGGTATTCTACCTGATAGGATGCGTGCAGATATGTTGAGATAAAAGGCTGAATCCCACCACCCGAGGTGCTGGATCTATGGGTTAGGCTTATGGACGTAGATGCAAACGAGAGGGCAAAATTTTGACCGCACATCTTTGCATGGGCGGGCTAGCTGTGATATGAAGATGAAACTGGATAGCTGTGATTAAGGAGATGTGCCTAGGGAAACAGAAACATGAAAGATGTAGAGTGTTATAGAGCACGCATTTAAATTATTAGGTGCTGGGGCCGAGCTCGGCCGTTTGTGCGTTTTTTTTCCTTGGATATTTGTTTTGGGATCTCTAGTGTGGCGTTTTGTACATTTCTTTTACTTCCATTATAACACTACGTGCTTCATCAATTGCATAATCGTTTTTTGTTTGAATACGAAAAACTACAAAAACGCGCACGTGTACAATTTCACATAATGCAAGCGTGGTCACGTGCTGCGACTCTCTCTTCTGATTTCGCTCGCACTTGCAGCGGTCATTCGCGAGTCTCATGTACTAACTCTGGTACCAAAACATTTCAGACATCTTCGGAATCTATTATATGTGGGAACTGTTCGGAAGAAGACCTCTGGACCAACATAATTGGATTATTGTTTATTCGCTGACCTGGGCCAACGACGAACTATTTTAAAGAGAACAATTGTTAGTGAGTCTGTACCATTTGATCTCTTTATTTTTGTATACCCAACGTAGCTTAATTATTTTTATTTCTTTGCCACACACTCCTGATAAACTAACTTATTGGGTAGCCAGACCACTACAGTAGCTACACGTTTTTCATTTTTCGTAACTTTTGAGAAGGCGCTAAGTGAACATCAAAAGAATAATTGTGATATATGCACACCAGGTTATCTCGAAACACGTGTAAAGGTGAGATCATCGCCTTCCGGAGGAGCGGATTACCACTGGAACACGCCTTCCGGTTGACAGCAATCGTGAGAACTTGGCTTCCTGAAGTAAGCGGCAAGTTACTCATCATAGTGTGGCTAACTAGTGAACTCTGGAATCTTATTGAAGGCATCTGTCCCGTCAGCCAGCGGAATGGGAGACCGATGAGGATGAGGTCATTTCAAGGTCTTGCAGCAAGATCGTGTGCTATGGGAGAACCCCTCGGTAACGCAACCCAAACCGGACTAGCCCTGTGTTGAAACTTGACGACTTTGGGTGATCGGGAGGAAAAGTAGGTAACAAAACGGTGGGTTCCAAAAAAAGTTTGACTTGATGAAGCAGCTGACGTGCTCGCTGAAAGTCCTCCACGTATTTCGTGATAATAGTTTCGTTTATACATTTCTATTTTATTAGATAGACTCATATCTACAAAAGTCATTTCGATGTTCGGCTGTGTTGATCGGACAGGAGGCCGCCTGTCCTCAAGTCAGTGGAAGCCAGTGCAGCCTGCGAATGCGAACGTGTATGCCCTGCGGTCAGTGTGGGCTGTCATGGTAGCACACCAACAGATTTGCGACTACGCTCGGGCGAAAAGGGAACAACGAAACTTTGTTGCTTAGACCAAGCACCAACCTTTATCGATATCTCAGATGCCGTACCAACCGAAACGTGAGGGGCCCGATGCGGCATGTTCAGTTGACGAGGAAGTAAGCTTGATTCATTTACGTGTCCTACCACGGACCATTTTGTGTTTGAAGAGTATCGCTTACCCTCTTTTGAAGCAAAAACGCAGGTGGGGGAGTGTTCCCACCCAAACGCCCATTGGTGTTGTCTCCATTAGTGGGGTGAGACGTCTTCAAGCAAGTTGCACAGCTTGGCAAGCGATTGAGTTACTACCTCATCTTCAACCAGTCGCTACATCCAAGCTGCCAAATTTGGAACAACCAAAATTTTAGGAGACCTGCTTGTCAACATGTGTTGCATTGTTCTTCCAGCTGAGCTACCTCGATCACTCTTGAGTTCGTAGCACTCATTATTTTTAAGTAACCACTACCGTTTTTCGCGCCTCTCCTTTCTTAGTGCTGGCTGAAGTACAGCTGGACTAGTAGATACACGGGAAGCAGAAAGATATTTACGCACAAATTAACACGTCGACGATGACAGAAGTTTAGTAGCGTTGCCAGGAACCAGAACAAGAGATTTTGCTTTCAGTGAAACAGATTATGAAGGTTACCGATTTTCGCCTAGCCGAGAAATGTGCCTCCGAATGAGTCAGCCAGGCCGAGGACAGCCGACATAAGCAGCGTGGTGAGAGTAGAGGTGCTTTGGGTATGAAAGTGCTCCCGTGCTTATAAGACACTAAGCCAATAGAAAACGATATTTGAATAGAATCTCCTGATCTCTACATCCACGTCAAGGCGTATGCCACAGCGATTACGCCAACTTGTTGGAACACACTTTGAATCCAAGCCAGATGTCTGAGTAGACGTCACGGCAAGTTAGGCAGGCAGTTTCAACGGATATGTCATGCAGGCAATATCAAAGCCAGATCATGGCACAGTCAAAAAACTGGTTTGCAGTGATTCCGTAGGCATATAAAGCACGCATTATGCGGTTTTGGATAGGCCGAGTGAGACTGATGAGGCCAAACAGTCATTGAAGTATGTGGGTGCACATCGATCCAGATCCCACTTCAAATGAATATCCTTCTTCTTGATTAAACTCATCCCTTGCCCCTTATCAAACTACTCGCCACTTTGCACAACGGAGCCCCTTTCACGGGTTTCACTAACGCCGCTAAAGACTACAACCGCTCCCTCTAACCCAAAGTATAATCACCCCTAACAACCAGCCACATTGCTAGTCCACCGCCGCTGTCAGATTGGTTAACTCCCCGTCTTACCAAGAGCACACGACAACTCTTGCACTGGCCTCACGCCTGCCAACCGACGAACGCTGACTGAAAGACCGGTTTCATACTAGCGTGTCCGTTCGTCAATGCGTCAGGGAATTGTTGTGATGTCTGGACATATATGAGTTGTGTACTTAGCCCCACAGGGCGGACCTGCTTGACCGTATGCACACAAAGTGTCAGTGTCCTTAGGTAGTTGTTTTTAAGTGAGATCATACTTCAACTACTGGTGCGGTTGGACAAACCCAACTTACCAAATTTCCATCTGGAATCTGGTACTAAAGGCTCTTGAACCAGTTCGTGGAACGGGTGAATTGTTGCTTGCCTGCAATCCTGATTATGGACGAAAAGTGAAAAGTGAATATACATCTCACCGTACGTGCTTTGGAGACACTATGGTTGGTATGCAGCTTTGTTACTCGGGATTTACCAAGAAAGAAATCCTCTAACGAACTTGTGTCTATTGTTTTCAATCATTGAAATCCCAAACATTCAAATACCGTTTTGAGACTTAAGTTCGGTACAAGAGTTTGAAAGTAAAAAATTCATTTTGGCAAAATACATCCCTTTGCAAACAAATTTATTTTTGCGAGAGACTCACCTGGAACCTGAAAGAGCACTGTAAAAACGGGGGATTTCGAGACAGCTTGCTCCTGTGGTGAGAGACATAGGCTTTAGGTATTCCTGTGCATTTAGTTTTGACCAACAACCAAGGTACATGGCGGCTAAAGCTCGCGAGCTGTGGGCTTCCATTCGGCGGTGCTTGCACAATAAATCTTGATTAATTGCAATCGTTAAACATTATGTAAGACCCATTTTTGAATCCAGCCATAAATTCGGCTCACAGTATTTGCAGGCGTGCCTGACTGCTGTGGGTAGTATGCAGCGCTCATTTACTAAGTCCTTATTTCTGGCGCCATCCACGCTGCCGTATCGTCTTTGCTGTTTGTCACTTGGGCTGGATCCATTATGGCTGAGGCGCCTTAGGATAGATCTAGGGGTTCTGCATTGCCCAATCCTACATAGCTGACTTCCGCCCTGAGTCTTCTTCCTGTCCTCTCCACGATATCCGCAACCATGGATTTTTAAATCTGTTGTTGGTATTTCGAATCGTCTTTAGACACCACATTTTTTTCGCTTATATTCCAAACTATATAACAAGCTCGCTTCCTGTATACGTACTATATCATATCATGTAGACTTTCTAAAAGCCATCGATTCTTACCTTTCTATTGGTGGAGCTGAGTGGCTTTTCGTTCAACAGCTAAAACTAGGCACCTTTTTGAAGCAGAACTAAGTCCTATTACTAAACCCTAGCATGTACACTCACTAGCTTAAACCCCTAGCATTAACTCACAAGTAAGACAACCACATTCTCTCAACATGTAATCCTTATGCAGACTCACTTCCTGCGACTACATCCGCATCTGCTCTCTGAGTCATAGTTGTGTTGCAGTGAGTGTCAAGCGCCTGCTATCGTGAGTGTCATCAAGCCCGTCTCCACTAACCTTTTTGTATTTCCTTGTCTCCGGCCTTAAATCTTCGTACCCAGCCAACTTATTCCCAGTTCTTTTAAGACTGATCCCTTCCCTGAATAACTCTGTCGGCTCTATTCAATGCCTGGTGCTATATTTTGCCCGGATTTAACTAGCCTGAGCCATGCCGAAGCCTTAGTTCTTTGCTGTTCAGGACCATTCTGCATCCTCTGATCACTCACGGTGCACGCATATCAAACGGTGGGTCTGAACATGCACCATGAATGGAACAATCGTTCGGCTTTACCACCCACTAATTAATCCACATAACACTGAGGCACGCCTCTACTTAACATGGCGGTTACCACCAGTGCTTCGTCGTCGTTTAGCCATGGTACACATTCTCTGAACATCTTCATTCTACTCCTATAGCCCAAAAGGTAGTGGCCGTTTAATTTGCATCCGCGCCTAGCATGTTCCAGTGGCTGTTTGCTGGTCGCTTGTTCGAAATGACTGAGCTGTTCCACTGGTCTGGCTTTTCCCCGACTGGATAAAATATCGAGTAGCTGGAGTTATTTATTAATGCACAAACCGCAACTATGATTGCTCAGTGGTTTTCACGCTGCAGATCTGTTAGCATGCATGGGGGATGAAAACCTTATGTGGTGGACAGGTACGCCATGTGAGAGGGCCGCCCTGTTATGTCACCTCATGGTGTGTTCATACACTCGCCACACCTTCAGTAGTACGGGTGCGTCCTTCATCGCCGGTGGCCCTGATCGTGGCTTTAATTTAGGGTGACCATAGAAGAGCACCGTTGTTGTCTGTCGGTAGCTGGATTGGACTTGTTCCGGCTGTCACTAGTTTCACAACATCAAGAAATACAAGTGAATGACAGCTGTCTTTTCGTTCGATTTAATATATATATATATGCATGGAGTAGCCTGAAGGTTCTGTGAGAAGCTCGCGACTAACTTCGAGGTGCAAGGAGTTTTTACCTTCGTCTTAGTTGGGTTGCACCACCCCAAACCATCATCCCGACATAACACACACGTTCTTCCTTCTTGTTCCCTGAAGCGCTCACATACATATAAAATATAAATTCCTTATTATTTTCTGAATACCAGCATTCACAGATTGCGCCTACTGCTTTTTTCCGCCATGTACTATTCGGTTCTTGGAGGTGACAGCAGTGAATCAGTGAATGGAGCCCCTTACTCTTACCTTCCTGTCAAGTTAACGTAGTAGATTCCAGTTTAACTACAAATCTAATCCGTTATCTCGGAAGCTGTTGCCCGACCGCTTATTACTTGTCCACTTTCCTCGCTCACATTAACTCTCCTTTTACACGAAGGAGACCCTATTTTCAGATTCTTTTGGTAAGCTAAAACTACCGCCATGCAATCGCTTGTTCTAACTGGTGAAACGGCTAGCTTCTCTGCTAGCCACCCCGGCGACAAAGTCCTTACGTTGCCGAAATTGGGCACCCACTCTGGCCCAGTCAGTAATTATTTTCTAGATAAAAGATCTACCATTTCCTGGGTACATTTAGCTTGCCGTCGTCCTCGTAGATTTTTTGTTGATACTGTTTTATCTGATGCTTCGTGGCTTTCACCAGATAATAGTGCTATCACCCTACTCCTTCCTCATGTCTCCCCTTCCCAAGCTTCAAACTTCGTCTATACTTGCCCCATACAACCGTTACTCATTCAACCTGGCTGATCCTCGGTGAGCACTCACACGGTCCTCCAACGAGAGATAGATCATCCGTGAGCCTTCACCCGCCTGACTCCTGTGTCATTTTCCGCCTCATCCAGAACCAGATGCCACGGAACTGCGTAGCCCTACTCAGAGTGCGGCACCCTTGACGGCCGTTACGGGGCTGACCATAAACCAAAGCACGTCAATGCAATGATGGCATGGCACTGTCAACCCAGTGTGATGGAGTTCCCGTTACTCTTTTCTTCAGAATATTGACCGCAACCCCTCGCCCACTCAAGCTTGCAGTCGCAACTACGAGCAAATTTTTCATCCGGTCCCGTCTCCGGGACGAGCTCTTTCATACCCGATGAATTTTTGCTCAAATTTGGCTAGTGTGG